ATCGGGTAGGTACCCGCGCAGCCCAACTCCGCACATACTTTCACACATACGAAACTCGCTGTGTTTGTGTGGTTCGCGGTTGCAGAACACCTAGGGGGATTTATAGGCATATCTGCACACCGGTTTCTCGTATGTTCCGTGCGATGTGAAAGTATGGGACAGAGATGCGCGACCAATTTCGGTCGGTGTCGTCCGCCTTGTGATCCAAGATGATCCTGGACTTCTCCTGCGTGATGCCGAACTCCCTCCGCTTAGCAAGTCGGACTGCCTAGCGCACGCAAGCCGCCATAGATGGCAGGCCAGGGTTCTGATCTGGCCCGAGGGGGTTTTCGAGGCATGCTTGAGGGTCCGACTAGCGCGCTGACGCCCAGAATCCTCCGCTTGCGCAGCGATGCCGGCGGTACGCCACGTGGTCTCCTCGACCACTTTTAATTTGCTGACATGCGGCTTGCAACCTCCAATTTGACCCTACGTACTTATCAGAACTCAGAAGGCCGCCGCATGTGGCGCTTGAGCAAATGGCCGGAAGACCTCGACTCTCTTACGCAGCACTACGTGCACATGAGGCGACCAAAATTTTGCGCCTAATTTCGACATATGAGGACTTGCCCTCCCGCATGCTTGTGACAGCGCTTGATCACGTCGAAACCTCATGACGGCTCGACGACTCACATGCTGGGGTCCCCTCAATCACATATCTGTCTGCTTGCTTGCATCGCTAAGATTTATTAAGTTTATTAGCGGCTGCCAAAGTGGCAAATAGCGGGATGCTTGAATGCTTCTTTAACCGCGCGGCGTCGCATGGGCGGAAGCTAATCAAAAGCTCGCAATTCAAAGGTAAGATCAGTCAACACATCGTTCACCGTCGCGATCTTGAGTGTACAATGTAGCGCAGCAAGACCCGCAAGCTCAGTGGACTGCGAGGGCACCCACAATGCCCGCCGTTTCGTATCAGTGGGCAAGCCGACACGTCGGACAAATACGCAATGTGCTCAGTGCATCATCGAACCTACAGGTGCCTCCGTCAGATGACCAAGAATACGCAGAGATAGCTTGCGACGTCCAAGTTGGGAACCCAACCTTGGTTGGCTTGCGCGAGCTGGCAGTATCAGGCTTGGCAGAAGCACGACAACTTCTTCGGACCCCGAGGTTCGGCAAACAAAAATCCGTCTGTCTCCGTCGGCACGGCCTCGACCAGCGACGCCGGTAGACAGTGTTGGGACCGTCTTCACAGCAATCTCATGCGCCATTTGTGCGTACACTAGGACTAGTAAGCAGCCGATTGCGTAGCCCCCGAAAGGGCTCGAAGCCTACGACATGTGACACGGTCTGCCACATAATAAGCTACCTCGCGTATGGATCATCTGGTCAGTCTCAGGCGGACAGCGCCCCGGGGCTGTCGCCGCACACAAAGTCATGAGGTCTGCAGTCGCCCTGGTCTCGAGGCGACAGGATGACGATCACGTTGGGGTCGCACGCGCCCGCCACTAAGTCTCGCACACCGGCTCGAACTGTGTGGACACGAAGGGAAGAACATGCGACCCCGTTGACCATGAAGCAATGTGCCTTGCAAGAAGATGACTGTGAAGAGGCGTCTGCTTATCTATGACGATTCATGGCGCCGGCCTCCTCGAGCTGACATAGATCAGCGCCATGGCTTGTGCGGACATATAACGTCAATGAAGAGTGACGAGGCGACGCCTGGGAGTCTCCAGGCGCACGAAGATGAGAAACTGTCAGCACGCACCACACGCGCTCTTGCGTAGAGCATTCTGGACAGAAGGTGTCGGGTAAGCTTATACTCCTCCAACGAGAAGGCTAAAAGTAGAACGGTACGTGATGGTACTTTGTTCCACATTCGTGAGTCCGCGGGTATACTCTCAGAGGTGAGATATGCACCGGATTTGCATCGCGGGTTTGCTTCGTCGTCATTCGATTGTCTGCACAAAACTGGCGGACAAAGACAGATGAGGACAACGTCATGCGATTTATAGGTGAAGTATCGTTCTGATCTGCCTCTGGCGATCGCTGGGCAGAGCCTGGCGTAGAGATCCGGGATAGGGAGCGTCCCGTCCTGTGGGCAAAAAGTACAAAGACAGTTCTCCGGCGTAGCAATTGACATCAAAAGAACAAGTTCCAGGGTCGAGCAACTTCTCTTCGCGCCAGGGTGGGACCTGGGTGTCGCCAGGAACCGTGATACCCACTTTGTCGCCACGGAATACTTCCAACGCAGGGCGTTAGGAGTTATCGAAAGTGCCCGCTGAAGTAATTTCAGTAGAAACCTAGTCCAGTACGGGCGTTATCTACCGGATTTGGTATGGGTCGAGGATGGAGCGGGCATGGACCCCGCTGCTTGATGGTAAGAGTCAAATTAGGCAGGAACGTTCCGCAAGGCACTGGAGGACTAGGATCCGGCACTTACACATCGCATGGTACGAAGTGGAACGCGGCTCCATTTGTGTTGGAGTAGATCTCCAGAGTTAGGACCAACACCCTCGCGCGAGACACGCAGTGAATACTTCCTTTTCACATTGCTGAGAAAAGGAAGCTGTGTCAGATGATACACTCAGGGAAATAGGCGATCGGTAGTACACGAATGTTAGAGATTCAGCTCCCGGGTCACGGTCAATTGCGTGCGCAACATACCGAGTCAAACTTTCATTACGTTCCGGGTTTCCAGTTGGTCGTCGAGGCAGACGCTTGTCTGAGGCCGAGGATCTGATTCAAATATACCGCAACATCTGCTGACAGAGTTCTCGACAGATAGACATGTGCTAGGAACGGAGATGCCGAGTGGTACAGCTGTCTGAACAAATGACCTGTAAAGACTTCCAACCTGAGTACCCGGAAGGTTCGATTTTCTGATGAATAAGGGCTCAGTGTGCTTCCCATTCAAGTCACCAAACAGACACACCTCCACACCTGCGCCACCGCGGATTCCTAAAGGCCTCCTTCAAGATCAAACCATGAGCTGCTTGAATATTTCATGAGACGATTTCCGGCGGTTCGCGTGTCTGGCTGCCGGTAAGTCAGAGAATTCTGTCGGGAGTTTTCTGATTACTATCATAGAACCGCTTTAGAGGATTCTCTGCCTTCAAAACGTGATTCCAGCGCAGATAGTCAAAAGACATCACGACAGAGAAACAGCACTACTCTGCGGCCGCAACGAGTACAACAAACCGCGCCACGTGGCCGGTAACGCTCGATCACCATGCATCAAGATCCGCGACAGCGCGCAAGCGCAAGCCAGAAAGTACGCCAGCGACGCCATTCATATCAGCTATACATTTCGTTATTGTTGCTTCTTCGACATTATGAAGGACGTAATACTCAATGCCAGTGAGCTTACTCGAAGCGTTATGGAATTCAGGCTTCTGACAACGCGCTTCCTTCATATACGCGTTAGACTTTCCTCGCACGATAGATCATCGTGTGTATCATCTAGGACTTCGAGCTGGCGAGGTCGCCAACCGCATAGTAAGTGTTACATTACGACACTCTGCGGGGGCTGGCTTATCCCGCAAAGGTGACGGTAGGATCGCCATCTCGCGCGCATGGCATCGCGGCATATCTGGATCCTGTCCCGAGATGTTTCGTGTTGACTTCAGAGCGCGGTTTCACCACAATCACTGGACGGTATAAGGGTGTTCCTGTCTCTATAGTGAGTATCGGCATGGGAAGTCCCAATGCGGACTTCTTCATGCGCGAGGTGAGAGAGTGCCTGAACGGCGACATGGTAGTCGTAAGGTCAGTGTGGCGTCATACATGGCATCTCTCAGAGAACTGACGAGATCTCTCTGGATCCAAGATTAGGATCTTGTGGTGCACTTATAGACATACCGGTTGGTACTGTGGTTGCACCCAAGGCGAGCATCGCGGTTACGAGGAACTATGATTTCAATTTTGCTACCAGAAGCTCGGAGGAGGTCCCATATAGAATCAGTAAGCCGGTGAGCCCGGTGCTCTCCGACGCTTGCTTTGCATGAACGATCTCCCATGTGCAGGTACCTGCTGACCCCGAGCTCCACGCAGCTGTGAGCGGCAGAACGGAAGCTTTTTCTTATCAGAGCATTGACGGGTCTCGGACAGATCAAAGAGGCACTCGAGAAGACGCTCCCGACAGAGATTCGGACTCCGGTCCTTCATCAGACCCTGAACGCGTCTACTGATAGGTGATTTTTACCTCACAGTCTTCTGGAATCTGACCCTAGACAACCACTGCTCAGCTTCTATTCCTCGCAAGGACGGCAGACATCGTTCCCCGATCACAATGAGAACCTCATAGCTCAGTTGCTATCAACTCATGCCGAGCTGGCAACGTTTGAGGTACGCCGCACGACGATGCCCGGATAGACCGCCTCTGATCGCCCCCAAAGATGGAGACGTTCCACATCCTCCACCTCGCGGCCAGCTGGCCAGCCTTCTCGCACTCAGCTTCCAGGGTGGAACCGCCATTGAGCGCGCTCCCCGTGGCCCCTTCGATCTATCCCTCTCATCCTCCATCCACTCAGGACGAGCCACATGGTGTATCGGTTGCTGCTCCGGATGGCCATGTACTACACCCCCGCCCCCGTATCCGTGCTGCTGCGGCTCAGATGGTGTTTGCATCACGCGTGTCAGAAGCATTTATCACACCTCAGCACGTTGCGGAGGTGGAGGCGTGGAGCGGCAGAGCTGTACTGGAGGCACTTGCTTCTTTCTCCATCGACTCAGAGGTGAGCTGCGGATTAAATCTCTGGTGAACAGCCGATTTTGATTGTGCATTAGCGATTGCATAGTGAACAGGGGAGTGTCTGGGAGATGTCATAATGTGACGATGTCAGCGGGTATTCTCGGGCATTTCGAACTAGACATAGCTATCTGTATGTAACAAGGATTCCCCTGTATAACAAAATGCAGGTTCTCGCTGTTGGATGTATTTTATCAAGGCCGCTCTAGCATAGTTTCACCCACACAAGTAATTAGACCAAACAGTAATCAGATCAAAAATTAAAGGTAAGCTCCCTGGCGGGGAGTCGAACCCCGCTCTCGCGCGTTTGCATCCGGAGTTCATCACCCCAACTTGACAGGCGCGTGTACTATCCGATATACTACCAGGGATTGATTGACGCTCCAATTGATAGGTATATTGGGCCATAGAGCTTTGCGCAGCGTATTACCGACGACTTGTACTTGGCAAGGTGTAAAGGTACACAGCGTGATTTCAACGCAAAAGTAAGATGAGAGACTATGGCCGGAACAAGCTGCTCGGGGCCTCTGTATGAATGGCTTAACCATTTACGTAGAAAAGGATCGCCCAAGCTGGAATATACTGAACTTTTGCTTGAGATGCCAAAGTTACCTCTTGTCACTTATGCACCGTTAACATCACTACTACTAGGTGGCCGATGTGTGGTAAGTCTGTTCTATGATCTGTTTCAGCGTTCCCTCGGTGCGATCAGATGTCACGTTGAATTATTCTTACGCAGACTAGGGTACCGATTCGTCGGCGGTTGGAATCTCACAAAATCACCATCTTCCATGGCACTGTCGTGGCGCGTGAGAAGTCAAACAAAGCTCTCTTTGCCGCACAAGGGCACACATGCCACAAGACACAGCATCCGACTCAGTTGTACGATCCGAGATCCAGATCCGGTGATAGGCCTTGCAGTGATGTTCTCTTCGGTAGAATTGCCTGGACGACACAAATTGCCTGGACGACACAGCCGGCCACAGGCACCAATCTCCCCTGTCCGATCTACTGCGAAGATCGTATGAGCTCGGTGATAATTGGATCCCTGGCACAAACATCACCCAACGACTGGAAGAACCAACCGTTCGCATTAGCTCCACGGCGCGGGGTGGGGGAAGCCCGAGGCCATCGGTCGTATATCACATTCGTGGGCTGGGGTATAGATTTTCCGGATCTCATGGGAGCCACGGGACAAGATATAGCTTGCTTAACTCGGGATCAGCGCTAGGCCTGTCCGTGACAGACGAGAATAGCCCTGAATGCACGAAAGAGTCCGCGCGCCGATATAGACGTCGAGATAGCTAAGAGCGGAGCCTGTAAGTCGGCCAGATGCGACAGAGATAGCCGCTATGTGCCCACCTTTGTGCAGATTTTGACACAGAGCGCAATGACAGCGGGAACCGCCGCCCAAAGTTAAGCCTGAGAAGCAGAACACATGCCCGAGGGATGTCTTCGCGGGAGAAACGTGAAGACACCGGCGACCAGCCAGATGGTCGGAATCATGAAGTCTACCATTTATGACCAGCACGCAAGCGGTAATGCCCAGTTTCCCGCCCTTATTATTCCCGTCTGCCGTCATGTAGCGAAGAGATGCACCAATGGTAGGTTTCTGCCCACGAGACGGCCGTTGGACGCCGAGATAAGGTACATGTGGAAAGTTGATGCAAGCTGGTTCTGCTCCAACCACTGGCTCCGTGCGGATCTCTGTGGTGAGGACAGGGGGATGGTCTCCACGTCGGCGACACCGTAGCAACGTGATTTATCCGCATGTCAGATCCCAAAGAGATTTTCGACACACTAGCGCAGGGGCACCGCATGCAGACAATGTGTAAGTTGCAGGCAACCATCCCGAAGCATCCTGTTAATTATACGAATCAGACTAATAGAGTTACCCGAATCCAGCCGGCAATTATACGTACCGACCCTGGTAATTCCCCGTGCCTTCGACGAGGATGTCGAGCTCCATAGTCTAATATATGGCTGCTCCCCCGTAAAGCTATATGAGTTTTGGTGCCGGAGCAATTTCGTGGTAACTTACCGGTTTCAACAGAAAGCGCCATTCATATTTTACACAGGTCACAGGTGGCCCTGATCCTGCAGGAGATAATCAGCCTCGCGTCCTGCGCACTCAAGTCGCGATGTTTGCAAGCCGTTTCAGGCCATCAACCATGCGATCGGGCCGCATCCGAAGCTCTGAGAGCTGCAACGTTGATGCGACCACAAAGAATCAATCACGTGACTCCAAAGTACAAGGTATCCTGGTTTGTCAAGACTCCCTGCAGCGCCAGGGCGGCGAAGTCGTGGTGGCAACTGCGATGGCATGGCGTATTCCGTTACTACGCGAGCCATGCGAGCCGGATAAAATCTGGCACAACCTCTGCGTTTCCTGCTGCAGTCGTTCCCACCGAATGACGTCCCCATTCATTCTTTGAACAGATTAGTATCGTGTAACATCTGCGCCTATATATCAGCCATGCAATGTGCTAGGCCGATACCAAGACCTCGCGCATTGCTGTTGGCCATGCTGACCACGCCCAAGACTTTCGAATCGTCTGAATGAACGCACATCGATGAATTTATTAGTGACGCGTGCATCAGGTAGGAGAATGCTCGCGTACATGCGCTGAATCGCCAGCAGAGCGGACCCATGCAACAAGCATAAACTGATCGGGGCCTTTAGTCAGTTCGTATACCAGGTAAGGAGACGCTCACATACTCTCACCAAGCAAACACCTAGATAGGATATCCGACAATGGAGAGTTTGCGGATCGTCGCAACACCGGGGATACAGCGAGCGTGGCGGTCCCAAGCAAGGTGAAATAAGACACGTGAAGCTTGAAGTGATATCAAACGGAATATAACTTGGCCGTCCATGATTCGTACTGCGATCCCAATTCGATGCCATACGCCGAACCTCAGTCCCTATGACCAGTGACACAGCCCGTATGCTAGCTCCCTCTCACACCCGATTGGAAGACAGATTGTCAAGCAGTCGGTGAGTACGAGGGGCTGATTTACAGGCAACGATCAGCCCTTTCGCAAGGCCGTTGGTGCAGCAGCAACATCCCGTAGGTCCCCCGCTACATTGTCCGCAGTAGACTGAAAACGCATCAGACAACAGACCACATTGCGAATGCGTCGCGGATGGCGATCGCGCCCAGAGACAATCCCGCTCGATATGACACTATGACGAGCCAAATGGTGGGTGTCCAGTCTGAGCTGACATAAATATTCCAGGGAACGTGTTGCCCTGAACGGTCCCCGGCTAGAAGGCGACATGGTGTTGGCCGTGGTCGTCTCGCATATCTTTGCCTGTAAGCTGGTCGTGGGTTGTGAGCTGGCTGGAGACCCGTACGTGGGCCCCCTTCGACGGTAACGCTGACACGACCAGCCTGCATCGTACACTGTGCGACCCCGCTTCTTGTCGCGTAGGCTGTCGGCACCACTGGACGGACCGCAGCGGTAGACCGCAGCGGTAAAGCGTCAGGAGGGCCGTGACCCAACCTGCTGAAGTGGAAGGTGCTGTAGGTGAGTCAGGCCGAGACTGATGGCACTGAACCGACCAGCGAGGGCAATGATATCCATTCCCGGCTCCGGCTGCTGTGCATGCGCGCCAGGACCTTGCATGGAGCCACATCGGCCAGTCAATTAAGGGCGGATCAGAGAGATAAGTGCTCACGTACTGTCGCCGGGTTGGCCGTGATCCGGTATCCCTCGAGATGGGTCGACGTCGGCACGTATCCAGGCACGCTGGTCGAGGGAACAGAACGTGCCGACCTTGATAGCACAGAAGAGGTGTGTCACAACGTCCACAATAGGCGTCCTCTTGGACGGTTGCCGTAGGTATCCGTGCGGCGGAAGTCAGCCCCGCAGTACAAAGCAACCCGCAGACACTAGACTTTAGAAGGCAGAGACTGTTGCGCGGGCTATGGTTAGTCTGTTCGCCGCATGTATTTCCGCAGCGGAGCATCGTACATTATCCCTCCATTCCTTATTCCGCGAGGGTCCTATCATGATCTTTGCTCCACAGCCTGCTGAACGGTCTACCGCTGGATAGAGCCATGATGTAGGCCGTGATCATTTCGTCTATCCATGCCTGTGAGCTTGTCGTGGGTTGTGAACCGGCTGAAGACGCGTACGTGGGCCCCCTTCGACGACAACGTTAACTGCGACCATCTTGCATCGTGCTGCCCTGTGCCGCCCGCATCTTGTCGTGCAGACTACTGATACCTCTCGAAGGACTGCAACAGACAGCAGCAGTAATGCATCGGGAGCTTGGCCCAGCCTACCGAAGTGGAAGGCGCTATGGTGGGTTGGGCAGACCGACAGCGCTGAACCGATCAGTGCGAACGACGACATCCACTCCCGACTCCGGCTGCTGTGCTTGCATGCCAGGACGTTGCATGATCTACGCCGGCTAGTTAATTAAGGCGGGCCGCAGAGGTAAGCGTTCACGTACTGTTGTCAGGTCGGCCGTGATCCGGTATCCCCTTGTGATGGGTCGACGTCGGCATGTATCCAGGCACACTGCCCAAGGCAATAGAACATGTCGACCTTGATAGAATGGAAGGAATGGAAGAGATATATCCCAAGGTCCATGATAGACGTTCCGTTGGCTGGTCGCCATAGGTATCCGTGTGGTGGGCGGCGTGGAAGCCAATCTTGCAGTACAAGGCGGCCCGCAGGCTCTGGAAGACGGACGTTGCTGTGCGGGTTATGGTGAGTCTGTGCGCCGCACTCACCCCGTGCAGCGGAGCATCGTACATTGTCCCTCCATCGTTACTTCCGTGGAGTCGGATCACGATCTTTGTTCCACAAACTGCGGCGCAGCAAAGCTATCGCAGAAAATTGGGATGCGCCTCGGAAGACATGGTACGTTCCAGCGACAGTGCGTTCGTATACAAGCGGTCCAATGATATAGCATTGTGCGCTGAACGGCAAGCATGAGGAACTGCGCTTGAGTCCGTTCCCCCTAGCCCTTCCATTACGTCAGGCTCTGGCCATCGCTCAGTCTGGACCGTCAGCGAAGGACGCACCGTGCCCAATAGCCTTCACGCACCTGAACAACATGCGGTTGACGGGGTCCACTACGAGGGACAAATTCACACCGCCGGCGGGCGAGGAGGTGTGTGTGTGGGTACGAAGTGACATTCTCATCTGAGCATGACAGAGCAATCTGATACGCACCGTCAAGCTTGGGCGCAGGCCACGACGAACAGAAATCCATCAGCTTCAGTGCGGGTTATCGGTGAGCGGAGACCTTACACACACTGCCTCCGCTCGTTAGACCAGCTCCGGCGGGATTACTGATCGAGGACGGAGCAACACAGCCTCATGGGGAGGCATGACAAACTTTATGCGTCGCGACATTCCCATGTGTGCATAACGGCAGTTTGACCGGCCCTGGTCAACCTTGGGCGAAGGCCAAGTCGAGCAGAAATCCATCAGCTTTCGGTGCGGGTCATCGGTGAGTAGAGGCCTTACACACGTTGTCCTCGCCCGTTAGGCCAGCTACGGCTGGATCACTGAGTTAGGCGACAAAACCTCATCAGGCGTCGTGACACTCTTTATGCGTCTTCATTGTCAGTTTTTAGAAGAGCCATGGGTACGCCGCAACCGCACACTGGCACGGCCTAACGTGCCCGGGTCTTCATATCTTTGGGGAGCACGGGAACAATGCGTTCATTGAAAGACGGCCAGTTGACAGGTAGGGCACAATGCGTTCATTGAAAGACGGCCAGTTGACAGGTAGGGCACGATAGTCATCTGGGCCGAACAGTATTGGTAGGACGCAGGCGTCTCGCCACCAGTTTGCTTGCAAGCACGCTTACAATTTCATAGACGACTAATGAGAAGGTTCCACTCAGCCGCTAGCCAATGTGAATTTTTGCAGACAGGGAGCCGCAGAGATAACAGCTTTGTCCTTCAACAGCGCTCTTCTAGCTGGAATCACTGCGAGATGGCACCAGCGGTCAGAAACAAAGCAAAGACGCCACGGGCACGCTTAGACCCCCTTGAGCCAAGCAGACGTACCATACACCCCTAATGCCACGAGTGAGACGCGCAGGGCGCCACGTTCTATCGCGGAGGTGCCAATACAGGCGCCGTTGCATCTCGAGACGTCCGAAGTATCTCAGAACGCGAACTGGCAAACTGGAGCAGGCTGGCGAACTTACAGACCTGTGGGGACAGATCCGCGCTTGCAGAGGCGCTCACACCGTCAAAGACATGGACCAAGTCTATTTCCATGCTAGTCGTCACGATAACGGGCGGAAGTCTGACGGATCCGCCTCTATTGACAAGAACGCCTCGTAGAGATAGATGATGCCGAACAGTATGAATAGCGCGCTCCCGGCCAGCGTCACTGTGCGGGGGGTCAGCCGGCGCGCACAGAGTTTCAGCAGGCAGCCACGTACCGTGTTTGACAGAGATCTTCGTGGAGACGTACCGGCCGCCCACGACCGCAAGCGCGGTGCAGCACGAGTGGCCGAGGACCGTCCCGAGGATGACTACGTATACATTCTGCGCCCGCGTCAGTCTCGCCCGTGCGTGCAGACGGTGGGGCGCTCACATGGGCCGCGGCGAGCGCGATGGTGGAGATCTGGCTGCGGTCGCCCCACTCGCCGAGGAAGGTGAGCACGAACGCCTGCACGAAGACCGGGCCCAGGAACAGGCTGAAGAAGTTGCGCGCGGCCTCTGCGTGCGCCTTCCAGCCCGCGGGTATCGTGCCGCCGTTCGGCGCGGACGCGGCGCTCGCGCGGCGTGCATGGGCGCGGGCTGGCCGGCCGCCCTCCTCGAGCGCCTCGAGCGGGATGGCGGCGGCGCCGTCCTCGCCGACGCCGGTGCCGTCGCGCGTGGCCTCGTCGCCCTCGATGTCCTCCTCTGCCTCCTTCATCTCCTCCTGCATCTTCTCGTTCCCCTGCATCTCGCGGCCTTCCTGGAGCATCTTCCACCCGAAGACGAGGAAGAGCACGGCGGCGGCGGCCTGCGTCCAGCGCCGGGGTATGAGGGTCGGCAGGAGATGCCCGAGCTCGGCGGAGAGGATGGACATGAGAAGGAGCGAGGCAAACGCGCCCGCGAAGACGACGAGCCGCGCACGCCGCATGGCGAGGATGGCGGCGATGAGGAAGGTCTTGTCGCCGATTTCGGAGAAGATGATCATTGCGAAGGATTGCCAGAGGACGTGGAAATCCCCGTCGTCGAGTGCGGGATCATCGTTGACGGCCATGCAAGTGTCTGAGCAGAGGTTCTGCATGGACGTCGTCACGGTCAGCCTCGAGCATGCATGGAAGCAAGATGGTCATACCTGGTATGTTCGGTGCTGCACCGCCCTTCAGTAGATCGTATACAATGTGAATGGTGTACAATAGGAAACCAGTGCCAGAGAAACAAAATGTTGAGGAGGAGGGGATGGTGAACCGTGCACGTCACCGCACACTTCAGCTTGCTAGAGTGCTATCCCATAAAAGGCAAGCAGCTCTCACGCCTACGTATGTCGATCTTCAATTCAGTCTGTCTATTCCCCTGCTGGTCTTGTGAGCAAGCATGTTGATCTTCGTGCAATTCAGTCTGTCCGTTCCTCTGCTGGTCTTGTGAACAAACGCCTCGTATTTTCCCAGCGTCCACCTCGGATACAACATGACAAGTGCCGGGACTACTAGCTGCAGCTGGTATTTCCCTCCGCACGATCCACAGCTGGAGAGTACTAGTGGCAAAGTGCGCACGAAATCGCCTGTATCCTGGACAAGTTATTATTCCTACTTTTTCTACCTACTCCTACCTCAACCTCATTGACCCTTCCGAGGCCATTGGATGGTGCGATGGCGGCGTCTGCTTTGACCTACCGCGGCACTGAGCAACGGCGCTTCCCCAGCTCCATGCTCTCACGGATTCACACCCGCCTCGGTATCAAAAATCCCCAAACCGATTCTGCGCAGCTAAGGGCACCAATCACACTGTACACTTCACGTCTGAGCCTATTACGAGAAGCTAGAAGCTAAACATGATAGCGGTCGAATATGCAATGTGCTGCTCGGCATTTGAGCACTACTGTACATTGAAGGGCCGATAACGGCACCACTTCAGAAGTGGAATTTTGCACACCTTCTACATGGATGTTCCACGTGTCTCGCAATCGCAGACTGCAAAGTATGCGCCATACTTATTTTCGCAAAAAAGATACAACGGGTGAAGAAGATGCAGTTCCCATTAGCCGACTCGAACGACTGACCTCGTCATAAGTAATCACTGCGTGCTACAATACTAGTGACGCGCTCTACCAACTGAGCTAAACGGGAGCCTACTACAATAATATATTACATAAACCATAACGGAGACATCGAACAAGTGAATAATCTCCGGTTTGTCCAGGAGGACTGCCTCTGAGCCTCACTTTAACGCCTCCGCTCTCGACCGGTCCAAGCGCATTTCCTCCGGTGCTGGACACGCTCCTCCCTTCGCGAGTATCATTCTCAGGCGACCATGTCCGCACCCCGCAAGCCTGCGCCGCGTCTCCCGCGACCAGCCGCCCGGTACTGGAAGGGCAAAGCCCCCACCGGCGCCGAGGCAGGCGACGTCTCCTCGGAGGACGAAGATGAGTACGCCGAGGAGGCCCCCGCGGAAGAGGGCGATGTTCCAATTGGCGGCTTGGAGGAAGAGGAGGAGGAGGAAGAGGACGGCCTGGCGGTAGGCGCGCGGGAGCCGGTCGAGAAGAGGCGCGGCATCAATGTGCAGCTGAGGGACGTGAACATCTCGAAGGAGGGGAAGGTCACTGTGGCCGGCCGGGAGGAGGTGGGGAAGACGGAGGTGGAGCTGGAGGAGGGTGAGCGGCTTCTCAGGCTGTTCTGTATCAAAGGCTAACTAACGCAATGCAGAGGAGGAAGAAGAAGAGGAGGCCGTTGAGGAGGAGGAGGAAGAGGTAAGAGACTGTACACTCCATCTGGCGCGACTAATTTCTCTCGGACTACTAGACTAGCGAGGAGGAAGAGTCTGAAGAAGAGGAGAGGCCCAAGATTCAGTTCCGGCCGGTCTTCGTGCCAAAGTGCGTCAGTTATACGTCTCTGTCACGGGCTCTCAATTCGTCTTTCTGTTCATACATGCGGTGCTAACCTACTCTCTAGACGAGCACGGGCTACAATAGCAGAAAAGGAGGCGCTCGCGCAGGATACGGAAGAGGCGATACAGAAGAAAGAGCTCGAAGCAGAAGAGCGGCGAAAGCAGAGTCATGCCATGGTCGCAGAGAGCATCCGGCGAGAGCTCCTCGAGAGTACGTCCTTTTCTACGCTTCCCTTACACCCGCCTATCTCATCCCCTCCCGCTTTTCCCGCTTACTGATGCTCGCCCCGTCTCGCAGAGGAGAAAGAAGACCAAATCCCCGACGTAGACGACACGGACGGGCTGGACCCCGCGGGCGAGTTCGAGGCATGGCGGCTGCGCGAGCTCGCGCGGATCAAGCGCGACAAGGAGGCCGCGCTCGCGCGCGAGCTCGAGCGGGAGGAGGTCGAGCGGCGGCGGGCGCTGCCCGAGGAGCAGCGGCTGCGCGAGGACCTCGCGCGCGCGGAGCAGAGCCGGAAGGAGAAGCCGAAGGGGCAGCAGAAGTTCCTGCAGAAGTACTGGCACAAGGGCGCGTTCCGCCAGGACGACGAGATCCTCACGCGCCACGACTACACGGAGGCGACCGAGTCGACGGTGGACGTGACGCTCCTGCCGAAGGTGATGCAGGTGCGCAACTTCGGGAAGCGCGGGCGGACCAAGTACACGCACCTGCTCGACCAGGACACGACCGTCGGCGCGGGCGGGTTTGGCGGGGCGGGCCCGGTGCAGGCGGGCGGGACGGGCACGGCGGGCGGCGGGTGCTTCATCTGCGGCGGTCCGCATCTCAAGAAAGGTGCGCCCCCTCGCGCGGACTTTCGTGCATCCACTGACGCGCGAGCTGCACTGCTCCCAGATTGCCCACAGTTCAAGGACCTTCCGCCAGGCCAGCGCGCGACGGGCGCGAACAGCGCGCCACAGGGCGTCCGGCTGTGGGGCGCGCGCGGGGATGGCAAGGACGACGCGCGCGGGTCGTGGCGGGACCGGGACGAGGACCGGCCGCGCGCAAACGGAGGCGAGCGTGATCGGCCGCGCGACGAGCGGCGCGGCTACGCGGACAAGTACGACCGGCGGGACGAGCGTGACCGCGACCGGAGCCGGGAGAGGCACGGGGAGCGGGGACGGCACGAGGGCGGGCGGCGGCGGGACTCGCGCTCGCGCTCGCCGAGGCGCGATTACGAGCGCGACCGGGAGCGGTGGCGGGAGGCGGAGAGGCGCGAGGGAGAGAGGCGGAGGGAGCGGTCCGTCGAGGCGGACCACGGGGCTAAGCGGCGGCGAGTGGATTGATGGGCGACTGTGGGATGATATCGAGCTGTAGACTTGTTCTGTATTGCTATCGTGATGATGCTGCATTTTTGTTTGTGTGCTCTCGCTGGAGGATGCTCTCCCCTCGAATACCAGGTCTGCACTCCTCGCCTTCCGTTTCTGGTCAAGTACGTCTGAGAAGCCTTGTGTGTGTCTGCCTGCAGGACGTCTCCTGCTGCTGACTAGCCTGGACTATTCCCCTTGTTAACTCGGCGGTGTCACACGAGCGTTTGAGTTGACATGCGCCAGCTGCGGTCGGGATCTTTCTTCGTAGCTTCCTAGCTTCACACTATTGTGTCCGTCCTGGCTTCTAACTGCGTGGGCTAGCAGGCTCCCGCCGGCGACATTTCTTACCGTCTAGTCTAAATCCGGAGCTTAGGAGAGACATGCTTTTACGCCAATTCTAGGCCCCTATGCTCCCGCAAGAGAGCTGACAATACGCGAGGAGCGCATGTTATTCAGGCCCCTTATGTCAAGATCGACTGGGCGCGTCAGGCGCTTGTACATCACGACGCGGTGGAGGCGAAACCAAGTGTCTCTCGTCGGTCTCCTTCCATTTCTTCGTCCGAATGGCTGCGCCGAGCACCTCTCTTCTCGTAGCCGACGCGGTTCTTCACCTCCGGGCGCGCGCAAGACACACGGCATGCCGGGGCTGGTCTCTAGACGTGCAGGCAGGCCAGGACGCCGTGCCTGATCCGAGTGGCTGAAAGCTGAGACATCCACCGCCCAGGCTCCCCGCACAATAATAATGAAATTTTTGACACTCATCGACTCCGCCCACGCACTTCCCCGCATGGAGCAGCCCACCATGGAGCACGCCGGCGCGCAAGAGTCTGTGCTGGGGCCAAGCACGCGCGGCAGCCGTGCTGCGCCCCCCTCTCTCCTCCCCATGTTGAACTTCAGCTTGGGGTCTGTACACCTCCCGCCCACGCCGACGTTCCCGAAGTTTACGCTGCGCAGACGGTGGGTGTCTGCCGGCCTGGTGGGGATGGGCGTGCTGCTATTTGGCCTCGTGCTTTGGGAGGGCACCTGGGTTCCGCGCTGGGCGGACGAGGCGGTGGTACTTGCGGAGAAACCGCAGCCAGCCCCTTTGTCGAATGCGACAGATGCGGCTGGGGATGGCGCACTGTTTCAGGATTTGTATGGGACTGAATATAGCCATCTGAGGCCTGTGCATTATCTTGCGGACCCGCCGACTGCGAACTTCCGAGGTGGGCATACCTGCGGAGTTGTATGAGAGACCCTCACATGATTGGACAGATGCACTTCGGAACGACACGAAGTACCTGACGTCTTTCCTTTCCGCCGGTTTCAGTACGTCCCTCCCGCATGAGCCGCCTCCTATAACGCTGATCCCTTTCCCAGCCAATGACGTGATGACTATCGTATGTCTCGTTTCCCAGCCGGATTCTTTCCTTGTAATTTGAGCTCACATTCGCGCAGGCCAACATGGTTTTCCTTGCCATGGTCACCTCGCGTGTGCCCATTATCCCGCCCTTTACCTCGCACATCAACGCCGTAGCGGACCCATTGACGTTCTCCGACATTTTCGATGTACCGCGCCTCGCTCGCGCGCTCAATGCACCCATCCTCGAGTGGGCAGACGTCAAGGACCTTGCCGCTGCGGAAGCGCAACGGGAGAGCGGGCAAGACGAGGTCGGGTGCTGGAATATCTGGGAGGTGGACAACGTGTTCGCGGAGGGGCCGCGGGGGAGCTTCACAGCCCGGGTTCTGAATCTTGGTGCGCTCGCTTAGTCTGCTCGGGGCCGGACGCATGTCTGACACGATAATAGACATCTCGTACACGCGCGCACCTGCGAGCGTGAAGCTGATCCCGGACTTCGAGCACGATTCACACTCGTCGTTCTGGGCACTGGCTCGGCTTGACGCACCCAATGCAAGCGCAGAAATTCTTGCGGACCCCGTGGCTCATCCGACACGCCTGACGGAGCAGGGACATGCTTTGCCGCCAGACGAGCAGCTTCTGTGTTACGACTATGTGTACTATTTGTGCGCGAGCGAAGTACGTTTTGTGCCGATCGCCGGGTGCGAACAGTGCTGATCGGCTCTCGCCAGCCATTTGAATACGAGCTCGACCACTACCCTGCGTGGAACTTTGTCCTGCGCCATTTCCACTGGACATCGGACCTGGAGCAGCTCGGAAAGACGTACCTGCGGCGTACTTTCCAGCTGCTAGACGACGCGCCTATTCCTCCCGTACGTATTTCTTGCTACGCCGTTGGTACCGTGTCTGACTCTATGTCGGCAGTTCATCGCAATCCATGCGCGAAGAGGGGACTTTGCAAATTGGTGCGGCGAAGCCTCGCGCGACACATGCTTCCCGCCCCTCTCCACATTCAACCACTGCGTGGACGAGATCCGTGCCGAGCTTCTGGGCACACGCGGGATCGCCTCCGACACGCCAATTCCCGTCGTATTGACGAGCGACGAGCGCGACGAGACGTGGTGGGGTGCCGTTGCGGAGGTGGGGTGGCTGCGTGTAGACCACGCGCGCGAGCGGACGGTGGAGAGGTACGGCGCGTTCTACCCGGTCGTCCTCGACGCGGTCGTGCAGAGCTTCGCGACGGGCTTTGTGGGCACGGAGCGCTCGACGTTCTCGACGCTTGCGCGGCGGAGGGTGACGGACTGGAATAGGGGCGTGGTGCGGATGGCGAAATGGGGGGCGGGATGATGCGGGTGCGCGCTGATCTGGGAGCGATGAAGTAGCGATTCGTTCTCCATGGACAGCTTCAGCTGCACATATCATTAGGGAGGACCTAGTATTATGGAACTGTAGTACATTCGCGTTTTCGCGTTTCTATACCTAGAATAGCGTAGAGTAGAGTAGATTAAGACATCTCCAGAACATATATGCTTCACAATCTATCCTCTCATCATCCTC